GTTCTCCAGAATAGGCTTCGTTGATGTTTGCTGGTTCGTTGATTTCCGCAGTTAAATCATTGGCGATGTAGCATTCTTCATCAAACCTTTGGGGAGGTCTTCTTTGTCTCCTTTCACCAATGTTTTGTACTTCATTCATAAATCTCTCCTCGTACGTTACTCCCACTGGCTCGTTATCGTTGATTTCTGCATCCATGTTGACGTTTTCGATAATTGGATTCAAATCAAAATCTTTACCTGCTTGCGTTGGAGTTTCTTTGATAATCACCGGAACATTTTGCTCTTTCTTTTGATCAAATGCAGTCAATGGTCTTTTGTCTTCACCAAAGTCATGGAATTGTGTTTCCACAAACATTGCATCACGGCTACGGATGAATTTCAATCCAATAGGATCATAAAACTTGTACCCCTTTGTTCCGTCAGGGTATCCCACAAAAAGTAATTTCCGGGATTTTGGGTCTAACTTCTTACGCTGGCTCTCTGGAATATGTACATAGCTCACACAACCAAATACTCGTAGATTAGCTACATCCGGTTTTCTTCCATATAGACATTCGTATGGAGTCATATCCTTTACTGATGTTGTAGGACTTCGATTACGTAAATAGACGGACGTATTTACAGCCTCAGCCCAAAATTCATTTGGCAAATGTGAATGAGACAGCATAGAACGAGCAGATTCAACAATGGTACGGTTCATTCTTTCTGCAATGCCGTTTTGCGCCGGATTATGAGGTACACTTAACTGATGGATGATACCATTTTTCTTCAGGAAATCTTTAAATTGCTGTGAGCAATATTCCCCACCGTTATCAGATCGTAGGGTCTTGATAGGTTTGCCAGTAATGTTGCGAACATGACTATGAAATTCCTTGAATTTCTCTAAAACTTCGCTTTTCTTCTTTATGAAGTAGATGTACGTATACCTTGAATAGTCGTCGATGAATGTGATGTAGTAGCGCGATCCACCAAAAGAGTTTACAGACATGGGACCACACACATCACTGTGTACAAGCTCAAACGGTTGGTTGGCACGGTAATGGTCATCTTTCGGATAAGAACACCGATGTTGTTTCCCCATCATACATCCCTCGCAGAATGAGATATTTTCATTTACATCACTCATTCCTTTAACCAAATCTCCATTTAACAATTTACGAACATTGTTCATTCCCAAGTGCCCAAATCTGCAGTGCCATAAATGCAAGCTTGAATTTGATGCGTCCTTTGCAATGTTCACATGTTCATGTCCAATCCTTAATTTGTACAATTTTCCTTGTATGTCCCCAACAGCTAGAAGTTTGGAATTACGAGATATCTTACACTTGTTACCTTCAAACATAACAGTAGCTCCAAGTTTTATCATGGCATAGACTGATAGTAGATTCTTGTCCAATTCTGGTAAGTACAATACGTTGCGTAATGATATGTTCTGAACGTGATCATCAAGTATTGCTTTCAAATGATAGGTACCTTTTCCATATGCCAAGATTGATCTATTATCACCTAGATTCACCACCGAGGGTTGCTTGAATGTCACATAATCCGTCAGTGCTTCTCTTTCATATGACATATGCTGGGTAGCACCAGAATCTATGATCCAATCTGATCTTTCAATAAGTTCAGATCCATTGCTTATCAAGGCTTCATCCTCATGCACTTTGTCATCTTGTCCTTCGGCACAATGCGCTTGTGTGTTTCTGTTTGCACCATTCTTAGTTTTCTTGTTTGGACAGTCACGAGCATAGTGTCCTTTCTCTTGACAATTGTGACATTTTCCTTGAAAAGGTTTTCTGTTGCTTCCATCGTTCTTCCCTTGTTTATTATTTTTATCACCACGATTCCTACCACGAATAAAATTTCCTCTATGAGCAGAATATGCATCTTCCTTAGTATTCTTCAAATCATTAGTACGGTCCACATCATTCAGAATTAAGTTCTTTACTTTTCAAAGAGATCTCTGTTTCTCCCATGGCATCTAAGGCTGTTATTAATGGTTTGTATTGCTCAGGTAAGCTAGCTAACAGAGTCATAGCCAATTCTTTGTCATCCACGCTGACTCCCATTTCCTTGAGTTGCTCATGCAGCGATTTGAGATGGCTGATGTGTTCAAGCACACTATCTCCAATATGGTATTTACAGGAATAATACTGTTGGCGTAGTCTCACCTTCTGAAGAAGTGATTCTCGTGCGAATTGATTTCTAATTGCATCCCATGCCTCCTTGGCAGTTTTCGTATCTCGCACGTGGATCTGTTGCTCGGGCTCGATGGCCAAACAGATGTATGTCCACGCTTTCTTCGCAGCCGAGTTAAACTTCCTTCGCGTTTCAGCACTAGCATCCTCATTTGGAAATTCAGCTGTTCCTCCGCATGCTCGAAAAGATCCAGACTTTCCAAATACAGCTTCATGTTGAAAACCCATGAGCGGTAATTACTGCCGTTCAGTTTCGCGAACCTTAACGCATTCGACATATCCGACGTAGCCATGCTTAAATTTCGACTATATATTTTATTGCAATGACTTTTCACTCAAATAATGACCTTCTACGTCCTGGGCCCATAACCTGTTGATATTTGAGTGATTCATTACAATCAGAAATCAGGAATACATAGAATAGAAATGTAATTGATAGAAAAAAATAGTTCATGGCTTCCCGTATAACATAACATGTGCTAAGATAACATAAATACTTCATGCAATAATATTATAGTGTAACATTACATCATCAATAATACTTCATATTGCTAACAACGTGTTCCTGTGAATCGAATATTTCGAACAAAATCTTGTTCCTCCGTTGTGCTCCCTGAGTCAAAGGAGTCAATGCCAACGCTCTCAGTTTCCCAAAAACGCTTCAATGATATTGTTAACTCACCCCTATCGGTCACGACAGTAGAATTATCAAGGCAATCGGCTGCTAAAATGAGGCTGTTCAGAGTATGTCCGCCTGATTTTTGTGATGACCATCCAGACAAAAGCCATCCCAATTTGCTGCCCATCGCTGTTGGACCATTTTCTCCTCGTACGACATCACTAGTGACTACGTCCAAATAATGATCAGCTCCTATCAAGATGTTGATTGAGTCACAGCTACCATTGTCATCAGAAGAATCAAAGTCTGCAAGTTCTAAACCATAGAGATGTGGATATTTGTCTATATTTATCCTAGTAGGAAGTGGTGTACATATTGTAGGAAATGCAATTGCTGCAATCTCTACTACCTCACCTCCACTCTTGTTTTCAATGCTCACCTTGAACACTTCGCAGCTTTCTCGTTTACTCTTGCTTTGGCCTAAGGTATTTAATTGAAGTGTCTCCTTACGCGATGACTCGCTCATTTCACGTGCCTCAACTTCAAACTTTATGGTTTTGAGCAACTCCTCAACTTGCCAAACATCACCAGTAACTTTTCGCGCTACCTGCAATCTTACTTCACTCGGTAGTATGGACATAATAATTGGTATTAGCAGATTGCCGTACTGGTTTGCAGATACCCAAAGCGAATCAAGTTCTCGTACTTGAACACTTACTTGATACAAAACATACCTCAATTGCCCAGTATGATTTTCTGAACATGCAGATATTTGTAGGATTTAATCCATATGTGCGGTAATAACGGTTGGGATCAACCAAATCTATCTTGCAGAATCGCAATTGCTGCGTCATAATTTGCGGATGTTAAGGTAAGTCCCTCTATCGAACGTGCTGCACTACCCTCAAGTAATGAGTTTAGGTAGTTGAATTTGTTTACCTTAGACATACTCTCGTTGCTATGAATCGTAGCATTGTATAAGTCTCAAAAGGCGCTACATTCTGTGATCTTTCCAGGGAATTTTAGCAATTGAAGTTTGGGAAGCTTTGGCATCATATCGAAGTGTTGTTCTCGTGGGGGCATTCAAAGTTGTAGAATTCGTATTAATCACTTCATTCGTAATTGTATCAATAGCATTCGTGTTCGTGTAGACCGCATTCGTGTTCGTGTTAACCGAATTCGTGTTGGTATTAACCGCATTTGTGTTCGTGTTATTCTCATCGTTGCTTATCGTTGTGTTACTCGTGCTTGCTGTTTCTACCACTAAAGGAATCTGTTCAACTTGTGGTGTAGGACTTTGCCTTCTTTTTATAGTTTCTTGACAAATCTCCGGTTTTGTTGCTGCTTCGATTTTACGTCTAGTGCTTAGAATTCTATCCGAGACGGCGGCTGCACTTCAATTTCGTGTTCAATATCCGTTACATCGCATATCCCAATGATTTCGTCGTTTATTTCGTCTAAGATCTTCCTCTTACTCTCGAGTTGTTTAGCGATGACATTACATCGTTCAATGTCTACTTCAGTGGCAACCAGAAGCTCGAGCGCTTCTTTTACAAGCCTTGTACACACGCCACGATAACCGCGGATAACCTCGATAAACGAGCATTGACCCAACCCCGGTAATACTGGCCCTCAGGTATAAAAATTCAGGAAAAGATTATATTTAATGTCGATTTCCTCTAATGCTTAATGAGCTTGAGATATCATATAAATCATTAAAAAGATTAACAAAGCGTACTGATTACAACGTTGAGATTGGGTGTTAAATTTTTACCGGTGGATGTATTCGATATAAGTTTATTTTTAATATAATATCCGATTTAATGAAAAAACGATTTTCATTCCTGGAAAACCTTTCGACAAGAAAATGAATTTCCTGGAGATGGTGTTCAAATTGCTTCGTAAACACAAATGGATTAGGCAAATGAGGTAAGAATGTTGGGAGAAACAATTGTTATACTTAGATATGTTTAGATCTAAAAGCAACAAAACTTTTTTGCTTACCTTCAGTTGTATATATATAGATTGCAAAAATAAATTTTCCATGGATAAAATTATAGTCTATAATTATTACATGTGATTATGAAAAAAATCACGCTGTTTTAGAGTGTATTCCTTTCTCAAAAAGTTAGACAGCGTTTTATATCATGTTGGACAATCACACGCAATTTTTCAAAGAAGCATACCTAAGTGTGGTTTCTTCTTGTGCCAGTATTCACTCTGAAAATTGGCCATGGTCTGTGGGGTATGAATGAGCTCAAAATCCACTGTATTTCCTAAAGGTGTCTTGCATGCTTGAGGTAATAAAGCATCAAAGGAGAGTCCACGTGGTGTTACGTCATCATAAAACCAATCTCCTCTCAAAACCTCAATGTCCAAACAAGGCAAAATGGTCTCTCCAAGGTTGATTATCTGTAAGTAATGGTGTTTGCATAGAATAAGTTCTTATATTGAAGACTAATTGTCTGGCGAGAAAGGATTTCGGCTAGATTGCAAATATGTAATGTCTGAATCGCTAATGGTATTTTCTGCTATGTTGTTATATCATTTCTTCTTAAAAATATTTTAAATAAAATTGAAGAGAGAATTCAAACTTTTGCTTACCTGGAAATGAACAAGATTTGTCAAATTACGAAAGAAAGTTTTACATTCCTCATCTTCAGAGTTAGTTAGTATTGCCCACTCTATATCTGAATATGGTGTCATCTCTTCTCTTGCCAATGAGCCAAGAATCATGACTTCGTAATCGCATGGAGGATTTCCTAGCACATCCAAACATTCTTCAATAATTTCTACGAAAAGCTGTTTTACCCTGGTGGCAATTCTTTTGAACAAAGTCTTCACCTCAGAAGTTTGTTTGATAAATTTTTCTCGAAGGTCATCATCACTTCCTGTTTCAGCATCGTATTTATTATTTATGTCTTCCAAACTAGCATTCGCCTCCTTTCGTAGTTCTTTCAAAGCTTTCTTCTTAATTTCACAATTGAATTTACAGGTAGATGTATTTCCTGATGCAGTTTCAATGATGTAATGTTGAACATCCAAGATTTTCTGAGGTAAAGACTTTGAAATATTCACAACAAGTTCACTTTTCTCATTGCTTTTGTTCAAACAATTTCTTACAAACATGTAAAGTGCTGTGGCTTGCAGCAATAATTTTTGTCTTTCAAGTTTTTGCAAAGTATCTTTAGTTGCTCTTTGTTGTAGAACTTCAGCCAAGTGATAATATAACTCTGGATTTCTTTCACTTGAAGCATCTTCAATCTTTTGTCTTTGTATTGCTTTTCCAACGAACTTCTCTGCGACATCTAACTCTCCTTTTTCAAAAGCACGTTTTGAAATACGTAGGAGTTGTTTGGAATTTAGCTGGAAATGAAAATAGATATTATATAAAGTAAGGGCAATAATAATATTAGATTTACACATGAAGTGGTTGTTCACATACTGATTCCAAATCCAGTCTTTTTAAGTCACTAGATCACAAGATTATGCAATGAACTGAAGCCAAAGTTTGCTTGTGCACTCCAATACTTTATAAAAATATCTTTTTTTTAAGAAAGAAAGTGGTAAATACCTGTTCCCTATTCGAACGTTCTCTTTGTTTGTGGTTTTGATCAAACATGTTGTAAAAAGCTGTTTAAAGAAATATAAATGTCACAACAAAGATAGCCCATGACAGTCAATCAAATAGAAGCTAAAAAATTTATAAGAGCAAAAAGAAACCCGAATTCAATAACAGTTTTAACACACAATTCTAAATGCAGAAGCTTTGAAAATGCTTTGCACGGATGTCACAAAGTTTTCCGTGCTTTGACATAAAATAGTTTTCATGAAATCGCTTTCGTCTTTTCTCCTTAAAAGCTTATTGAAACTCTTTTGACTGACAGTGTTATATTTTCGTGTTCTTTGGATCCTTATTAGCAATAATTCGAGTGCAAAAAATTTCTAAAACGATTGCAAATATCGACGAAGTTTCCTCTGTAATACTTTTTCACATTTGAGTTGTCACCAGGAACGTAGCCAGAACAATAATTGGGTGGGTGCTTAAGCATATATGCATGACATGCAGCATTAGTTTCTTTAAAAATCCATTATTTTTTACGATTATGAATGAATATATGATAATGTTCCCCAATTATCGTTCTCGCGACGTGCCTGTTTGTTACACCAAAAACTACGTCATCCGCAGATAATTAACAATACTTGGTAGCTGGTAAACATATTCATATTTATCTGTATGCTTTTAGCATATCATCGAGAGTGCACACTCTTTGCATCATTCAGTATACACATATATACCTTCTGTACTGACTTGAAGATAATATTTGTCTCCATTTATCCACTGCAACGTCTTTTGAAAGTCTAAAAATAGTTTCAATATTGTTACATGATAATCCATAATCATGTAAATTATACTTATTATTGTTATATACTTAAATATTATTAGTTAACTAATTAGTAAAATGCCTTACTCATACATGCATGTGTATGTTAACCACATTAACAGGAAAAGCTTACGTATAGGACGTGGTCAACCTACTGACCACAGACAACGTACAGGATACATGGTTAATCAAATGACCACAGTTTACGCACAAGCGGTTAGTCGTACGTCATTGTGCAATCACATATAAGCCGAGAATCGAAAGTTGTAGTTATGTTGGTGCTTAGTAGAAGTCCACATCAGAAGAAAGCTCATGTAAAAGAAAACGAACTATTTACGAAGATAACCAAAGAATCCAGTTATATATCCAATCCATCAACGAAAGAGTCACTGAAAGTCTGAAAGCAGTTGTCTTAGATAAGTTTGAACATTTACACATTTATATTATAACGATTATATCGAAATTATTAGTATATTAAATAAATATTTTAAGAATTGACAACAACTTCTCCACAAGGTTTTACTCCTTTTGTTACGAGCAATTGAACCAAAAGCGGCCATTTTATTATTATTCGGGACGTTCGTAACAATATATATGATGGATCACAATATTCATTTGTATTTGACACCTGGAAAACTTCGTAGCTACGAACGAACAAGTAGTGACAGTTTTTCCCTAGAACTTTACGTTGGGAAAAGTAAAGAAGCATAAAAACCAAAAATGCATTTGCAGTGGAAAATAAGTGTCATATAGTAAAGACAAATTTCATTTTAGTTCATTACATCATAGAAGATATGCATTAAAATTACGTGACCTAAGCAGAAAAAGTATGTGACTGTAATTTTTGAACACAAGAAAAAAGTGAAGCGCATCGAATAAATTTGACAAGTTTTTTTTAAATAAACATGTTCCAACATCTCAGGATGCCACCTTCAGTATAGTAAAGAATATTATATGCATAAAATAATTATATATGAGTAATATGATACAATTTATACAATTATGAGTAGATAATACATATTTAGTAGATTATTATATATATTAGAAGATTATATATATTAGTATATTATAGATTAGGTAGATTATGTATATTAGCAGAATATATTAGTAGATAATATATATTATTAGATTATATAAAAATATTACGCATTAACGAAAAAGGAGTAAAGCATATGTGTAACAGCAATTTTGCTGTGCTCTGCACAAAGAGACAAGTAAAGTCCTGTTAATACTTTCAATTTCTTCACAGCTGGGCGAACATAGAATTAACGTGTTTTGCAGAAAAAAGAAAAACACATGCACATATGGTTTTTCTTGAGAAAAGAAACATATACCTCGGGAAAATTACGATGTGTGACTAATTCTGAACAAGTAGTTTGAAATCTTGTGCAAAAAAGAAAGACGAACAAAACAAATGTACTTTATGTCCGTTCATCCCATAATTTAAAACTATATAGTTCCGTTACAAAAACAGACAGAGTGCTGTAAGTAACGCAACAACACTGCATGACCATTGTATTAATTTTTATTTCATTGTTCATTTCAAAAGATTATCAAAAATGAATGAGCAATGTAGCTAGATATGGAAAAAAATTCATGCAGCTTTCTGGCAATTCCTGACCAAAGAAAAAAAGAATTAAATGTTTTACCATATTTTGGTGCTGAATATTTCGTAGCCATGTCTATGATCAACACAGGGTATACGTAACTGAAAAAAATAAAATGTATCTTTTAACTTTGTTGGACAAATTTTTAACAAATGATCGAGCTTTTCAATAAGAAATTTCTAAATTGAACAAGAATGTTGAGTCAACAACGATAGTTGGGAAAGTCTCAACTTTGATAATATTGAAAAAAAAAATAACCAGAAGAGCGTCTATACATGGATAATTTTCAACCCTTTGCTGAAATGAAATTCGTCAACTGAGTTAAAACTTCAGCCCAGTCTTAATAAGGAGCATTCGCCATATCAAACCCCAGAAAATGTGTAGGGCAAATTTTCAATCCTATTGTGAGTCAGACCTCGGTTCTGAAACTTCCAGGTTCCGACTCAACCCTCAGCTAACTGGGTTGAAATTTCATCGTAGAATTGAACTCACCACCCAGACGAAAACTACGCCATGAAGCTAAATGTTTTTAAGCCGAGGCTTAGTTATTCGAGCTATGTTTTATATTTCGCAAGTTGATTAAATTACATTAAAGGTAAGTTCCATCCGGGGGGTTGAGATTTTTTCACGTAATCACAATAAAGTTAAACTCACTTAATGAGGCTCTCTTCAGGCCAGGGTTGAAGATTTTCCATGTAGCTCGTCAGCCTCTAAGTTTTGTTCAATGGCGTAACCAGCTCGCAAATTTGGTCACGCTATGTAAATTTCTTATATTATTAGCATTATTCATTTCATAAGAAATTGATTCTTTTTGCAGTGAACACAAAAAAAAATTTATGGCATGAACAAACCCGCAGGCTTCCTACGCCATTGGTCAAGTTAATTGCAAAGTTTTGAAAACAAACACAACGACCAAGGTTAGTAAGTTTTGCAAATTTTCCTATATCAAATAGGAAAAAGTCATTCATCCTATGTATTTGAGCTAATAAATATAATAAAATCATTCAAGTAGAAGTTCAGTGTTTTTGATGCCTTTTTTTCGATATACAATAAATCCATTGCTTAAACTTATCCTTGTAAAAATAAATTCATGTATAATTTGGCTCCGGATATTGATTTTTTAGCAAAAACAAAGTTGAAATGCCAGTAAAATATAAATTACTATTCATTACAATAATTTTCTAGACGAGACCTCTTAAAATTACAACCTAAAACAGTTTATTCATATCTCTTTTTATTCTTAGGATATTGAAGTTTTTGTTATGTCACAGAATATAGAATATAGAGAAGGGTCACTCGTGTTGCAGCCTTTGATGTTTTTGTCCTCGCTCATGTTGTGCCGCGCATATCGGCAGCCATTATTCCAGCAAGATATTTAGGGCTTTTCACTTGTTCTCAACCACTGAAATGACACGACGTCATTTCTTATATTGAAATATTTTCGATTTCATTGTGAAGAAATGACATCATGTAATTGCAGTGGTTGGAAACAAGTGAAAAGCCCAGAACATCTTGCTGTGCGGCCCTTCTGTATAATTTTTATTCTCTGGTAGTGTTATATTAATCATACTACTGACGTCACATTGCAAAATAAGTGGCTGAAAATTTATAGATTTCCTTCATCTTCGTGACAGCTTTTGGAAGAAATTACTTATGCATATTTTTTACTTTTATACCATTATACACTTCACAATGACTGGAAGTTGCTACAGTTGAAGTAGCACACAAGCAAATATACCTGGTACTTCAATATCTCATTATGCAATGTGACGTCATTGGTTGTGTTGTGTGTGTCAGCAAATATTTAATATCATATAAGAAAGAAAAGAGATGCGAATAAACTGTCTTCTATGATTTAATGTTTTTTCTACAAGGAAAATATCATTTAAATACGATAAACTTTGATTTACTGGCCCTTTAAGTACATCTTGTATTAGCACTGGGTCATAAAGCCTATCACGACAAAGTAAACTAATAGATAGCATTGAACATAAAGGCATCAAATAAACCAAAGCTTACAAAAATGAATATTAATGACGGATTTCGCGCTTTCTTAAGACATTTTCATTCCATCCCAGATAGCTTACAGAATGATTAAAATGATTAGGAAACTGAATGGAAGTCAGCAAATTCGTATGGCCATATAATGCCTGAGGTATTTTCTTATTACTTGAGTGATTAAATGCACTCGAAAGCCAAGGGAAGTTGATCAGAAATCTTGAAGCGCTTGTAATACTATGACTATCAAAAATAAAATGTTTTAGTCAGTGCTCCACACACTGCCAACAATTATGTAAATTAATGTTTTTGTGTTTGCTTGAATAAAACCTAGGTATTATTACATAAAATTGAAAATGATCCCGTGTAAATAGGATGCAGCAGAATTGCATTTGCTGTCTATAGGGCAATCATAATTTGTTATGTATAGAGTGAGCTTCGCTATCGATAAGGCACTTTGTCGAGTACACAGTAAACGGAAACTGCAAATTTTTCACGTGTGCAGGAAATATCGATATTACGAAGAGGAGGCTTTCCCTTTACCTCGACGGAGAAAATAATGTTGAAAATTTTATCCATACCACCTCTTTGCTGGCTCTCTCTCAAGTCTCTATCCAATTAAATCTTTACTCAAAAATATACATTCTCCATTTGTATGTAATGGAGTGGGAGTGCAGTCATCTTTACAAAAGAAACACATTTCTTTACAAAATTTGAATTTTCCATTTGAAACTCCTACTGACTGCCCATCAAAATAACTCTTCTAATTCTTTATATTTTATTTCCACAGCACTTGTAATCGAACACCTCATACGAACAATTATAATTTTAAGTAATTATAACCAAACAAATTTGCAAAACCAATTAGACCGTAAAATTATTGCGTGAAAATGTCTTAGTAAGACGATATGTCACATTAAAATGTAAAATATATTCTTTTAAACGCTTGTTTGTTTAAGGTAGTAGTAAACGCTACACATATATTGAGCTTAACATTCATCTTGGCGCATCTCTGGCTATTGTCGAGGTGTTAGTTGTGTCTGTGCACAAGCGTGCACATGAATCAAATATGTTACAAGAATCAAATTTGTTATTCTACAAAAGACTGAGAGCATTAAACTGAGAGCACTGAAGATTTAAAATGCAAATATAGTGGGATATGAAATTGTTTTAAAAGGCAATGGAGAGCTATTGTTTAACCAAAGAGAAACAAATATTCCGACAAATGTTTTGCTTATATATTATATGTGATAGAAGAGTCACTAAGTTCCTTCCGTTGAATCACAAGTCATTAAAACTTTCTAACAAATAATAACTCACCTGTTGGACTGGCAAAAGTGCAAGCAAGTATATTTAGCACGTTTCTTTTAAAATCTTGAGACAGTAAAATTTTTATAGACGTAAATTGCTGTTACAATCACAAATTATTTGTCAACTGATGCAGCGTATAGACCATTGTATAAATTATAAACACGGAAATCAAAGTCAGCTTTGGATAAGCGAAAGTGCGCGTGACATCACCACATAGGATAATTATGCGTCGTTTCCTATAACTTACAATCAATACAAGCAAAATGCAAGAAATATATCAGATTGGAACGTTTATAGTTTCTAAATGCTTTAAATACCTGACAATATATTGACAACAAATGTACATTGATGACTGAGAAATATTGTTAAATGCCTTCGTAGATTGTTTACATGTGACTATCATTTTGATTACAGCAGCATTATTAAAAATGCGTCGCTAAATATGCCGTTTTTATGTGTCGAAATTTTTAGCGAAAATTTGTTTCATCACCCAGCTACACTGAGCTTAATTTGTATTACTACGTCACGGTGGGGAAAAAGTGCACCAATTGGTGCCAGAGCCATTGAGTTCTTTAATACCTGGAGCGGCTATCTCAAGCGCGGCCTTAGATATCTGATGACGCCAAAAAAATGGCGGATTTCGTCCTTTGCCGCTGAGATTTACCGAAATTGACCGCTTTTCCGAAAATTTCACAATTTCCCACTCCCTCCTGAGGAAAGAGTGAGGAAAATGTATGTGTGTATTTCGGATTCGGCAAGCAATTTTTTAATGAAAATCAAGGTAAAAACCTTAAATTCATTACAGCGAGTGAACTGTGGTTGTCAGTTATCTGCTCGTACGAGGATGCATTTATAACTATCGACGAAAGACCGATATGTCGGCTACACATGTATGAATGCAGATGTGTGTCGTTTTCTTACCAGCGTCAAACTTGTTTGATCGATTAAGCTCTTTAGTCTATACAAAAAAGTATATCATAGTTCATCTCCACGGTTCACGAGAGAGAAGTTAGCTTATTTGTTATCATAGCTATTTTGCTTCTTTTCATGCAATGGGCAATGGCTTTTTTCGCCACAATTGTAGGATTTTTACTTCTTTCTTTAAAAAAGGACATATTACATCTCTGGATGTTTACGTATTTTCTGTAATTGAGTTTCATATGAAATTTCTCAAAGACTCAAGTCTGCATAGGTTTGTAAATGAAAACAAACAATATTGTATAGAAATTACTTTAAGTAACCTTTTTGTGATGTTCTGAAGTGCAACTACATCAAATACTTGTAAAGTTGTAGCACATTTTGATTTTGTTGTATTGATACATGAATTGGGCAAAATGCAAATAATCATCAAAACACTTATGCTTCCAATGGTGCTTATAATTCATTTGTAGTTTTAATACTTCAACCTTTCTTTTTCACTTTGTTTTGTTTTTCCTATATTTGCAATAGAAGTGCACTATAATTTGAATGATTAACACAGTTTTCACCTCAATAATAAATTTCATAAGCAGATTGTTGTGCATTTTGTTCTCTGAGTATCCACATCTGGTGTTTTGTTCATACAAGAATGATGAAGTGCAAGTAGATATGTCATAGCAAGGCAATAAAACCAAATGAATTACATACCTATAGTGTACTTTTATGCTAGAAGCATAAAAGCTTTTTAGAAATTAGAAAGTTATTGGATTATATTACCTCTATATCAGTAATCTCATGATAAGAAATAAGAAGCAAAAAATTTGTAGAAAAGCTTTGAAAAGTGAAAAACTTTTCTTTAAAAAAGCAGCAATAATGCATATGATAAATCTCCATTCTGTACTCTAATAGGTAAATAAGCTCAAATTTTTCTTAAAGAAATATAAGAAATATATAAGAAATACACAGTACAGTAACTTTAAAGGTTTCAATACTGTCCCTTTAACGCTTCAGTATAGTGCATTAGATATTAGTAACATTCAAACAACACTCAACTAAAATATTTTGATAAAGATATGACATGATTTAAACATTAAGTTACATAAAACCCAATGGCTTATACAGTTTGAAGCTTCACATCTGCATCGAGTCATCATCAATCTCAGTACAAATGTTTACATAGACACAAACTTTATTGCCTTCCATTTTATATGTTTGTAAATTGACATTTCATTAAGCATCAAAATACACACAACCTTCTTGCCATCTTTCTTTGGTTATTGAATTTATCTTCAAAGCATTCAAGGCATCCTTAGTGAATCCATTGTCTCCATCCATAGAATTTGACCAAGATTAAATTAAATAACTTTGGATAGGGCAGACAATAAATCAATTATCTTTACAGAATTATCATTTTTTAAGACTCTGCCTGGTCAATAACATCTTCCAGTCATCTTTACTCCTTGATCTTCCCTGCATGTTGTCAGCAAATAGAACATAACAAGCTCTGCTCCAATTCATGGGTACCGTTGGGGATGATCATTTCTTTTTGATACTTACTCAGATCAAAATGTGTGCAGGGTCTTTTTTGCTTTAGGGAAACTATTTTGCAAATAAATGGGTAAATTTACGATTTCATGCATTAATAAATGACAGAAAAGTATGCAGAATTTTATAAACTAAAACAGGAAAACATCAGTATATTTGGCGTTCAAGTCAGTCTTAAAAAATACGATCTTTAATATGTATTTTATGGCTTTTCAAATGCATAAATAATTGCTTTTCAATCGTTGACGGACTAACAAAACAAACAACTACCTCACCTGTGAGAAGCGATATGTTCCTTTTTGTGGAAATTACGACATCCAACAATTGAACGATTGAAGTGTTGGCATTATAAAAGAAATGCCAAGAAAGATATCGTCACAGAATATGGAACTAACGATATCCATATTCTGTGATATCGTGTTTGTTTTTGAAAAATTCTGTATAATTTACTGTAGACACAAGGGGGAGATCGAGAATGTTATTTTTCTGCAAAGCGATCATTTCAGCGGAAATACGTCTTTTGGCCGCCATTTTTTGGCGTTCTCGCCCCAGTAAAGTTAGCTGCTCCAGTTATTATAGAACTCAATGGCCAGAGCACTCTATAGAATAAGAGTTGGGACAAACGGTCTGGGGCGAGCGCGGAGCCGCCATTTTGGTTCCTACTTGCAAAGTGAAACTATAAGAATACTATTGGAAATTGGGTATATGCAAACTATATGCAAAAGAAGAAAGCAATTTAAGCTTATTCCATGGTAGTATCAAATATATTAGGAATAATAGCAAGCTCTTTGCGTTTTTTAACGATTTGCGGCAGACCTGATTTAATTTCATTGGTTTGAGCTTCGTTTGCGGTTTACTAGTTCGTTCTTCAAATTGATCGTGACCCATTGTAAGAAGTATTTTTCGTACGTGAACGTGTTTTCTCGGCTTATGTTCCGACTCTGTAACCAGTTATCAAGATCTTTAAGCTTGGTGGCAAGCGGCAATGTTATCCTGGCATCAGTGTAATCAAATACTTGGACAAGACTTTGTTCGAAACTTCGAATCATAGTAATCATGCAGTTTTGGTAAGGAAAGATTTGTGTTCAAGATTTGTAACAATTTAATGGTAGTGACTGCTTTATGCCCCACAATTTAATCCAAGCATGATATTTTTTATTCTGAAAGAACACAAAATTTTCTTGCTCAGCAGAAAATGACAGACTTTTTTACTTTTTAGTTATTGAAATATGCAATGATTTGACCAAGATGCATTTGGCCTTAAACGTTTTATTCCTTTATATGAAGTTATTTCGCCTTTATCACTTTATAAAGTATTAAAGTTTATTTCTAGTAAAGTTTGTTAGGGATTCTGCTGAAAATTTTGGTGAAGCATTTCTTTAAAATGAATATATTATTTCTATAATATGAAACATTTCTGTTGTTGAAGAATAGTATGTTTGCTATAAATGCTACTGTTTGTAGTCTTAAATTTATTGGTTGAGGAATGACAAAACTTCTATATGTGTTTAATGATTAAACAGGGGTGTGTTGGAGGGAGCTCAGCCTCGTTTGTTCAAATTCTATGCCTTGTATTGCCAGTGAAATATATATATCTAAAAGCTAGCAGCACCTAAATATATATCAGAAAGCCAGCAATATTTTAATATATATGAGAAAGGCAGCAACAGTAGTAATATACATTAAAAAGCCCAAATAGCTGAAATTCTGGAGATATGCCTCTGTGATCTTATAAACCAAAACCTACAATTAAAATATCATCGACAAGTCTAGAAGAGAAGTAATGTTCTACTTTAAGCTACGGAAGTAGGGTACATTTGTACAATTCATTACCAAAAATATACTGTAGTCAGCTGTTTCAGTGAATATCCTAATTATAATTACTTCATTTTTAAATGATGAACTAAAAATACAAAATACAACATAGAAAATCATAAGAGTTTTGTGTGATTTGGTGTAGTTGTTTTAGTGTGGAAGTGGCTGAGAATTGAGAGGTTTGTAGATTGACCAATTTCAGAACATAATGAGAAATCATCTTCGATTAAAAAACAAGCTTTGGAGTAAGAAAACTATTGAAACTGCATCAGCACGAACTTTGCAATGTTATTTGGCCCAAAAATGTTTCTCTGCTTGAGTCAGTTAATTGAACCTTATATCAAAAGCAATTCAGCACAACAATCAGCATACGCAATCAAATTTCGTATGTTCGACGTAAAGGCATTTCTTTCATTTTTTTCGTAATCCTCGATTCTTGCGATATGTAATGACATTTAGCAGCCTTCAACAATCAGTTATTACACACTTATCCATAAAAAAAAACCAATATTATCTCAAAATACTGTATTACTAGCAGCAATTGCTATACAAACACTAGCTCAAATTTCAAAACTAGGAACCAAAATGGCGGAAATTGATCAGGTGATCTATATTGCCCAATCAACGAAAGCTAAACGGATAACAATAGATGTCCCAACTCTTTCTTATAGAGGGCTCTGGTTGGTGCAACAATCCCGAGTCTCTTTGGCCGAGTGAACCACCTAAAAGCCACGAATTTCATTGTTTTTTAGCCTACGTCACGATGGGAAATCGCTGCTGACAATTGCATCTAAGCCCACGAACATCAAAATTTCATTCTGACCATTCAGTTCTATAATAACTGGAGCGGCTAACT